AGAGAGAGAGAGAGAGAGAGAGAGAGAGAGTCCGTACGTTTGGGTGGAAGAGCGGCGGTTCAAACTTGCATTTGGGAGGACTGGAAGGATAGTCGTCTTTGAATATCATACGAAGCTTATAGAGTCCTCCCTCCCAATGGGTTCCCTTCTTCCCCGGTATAGCGCACTCCCAGTTCCTGTCAGACAAGACATGCAATCAATACAAGTGTGCAAAACGTGTCAATCGGTGCCATACATGAGGTTTAGGCTCTCGTCGGTGTTTTTGGTGGGCTTAGCCATGAAGCCGAACGGATGGTCTTTGCGCCACGACTTCCTCTCCTCCGCCAATCGCGCCAAAGATATTCCCGACATTTAGACAATCGTTTCAATTGATCCGATGGTCAAAGAGGTGTCTGTATTGAGAAGTGACCGCAACTTCGATGCAATTCAACCACTCTTTCAAACCACAAAACAAACGCTCAATCGTTGACTCAAACAACTCGTCAATTATGTCACGAAATGCTTTCATTCAATACTATTGTTAATACTATTCATTCAATTCATTCATATTTACGTTATTTATTTCCATAGAGTTCGCTATAATTCACTGCTTTATAACACATATTATTAAGTGTATTGTATTTAGAAAAGTCTGTCGTAATCTATGAATGACTTTAGCCTCTATTAAATAGTCTATTTCATTAGACCACGTGATTAAGTCTCTAATATATTACACGCTATTCAATGGTTTATTAATTACGTACACATTCTCACAATTAAATGACTTAATAATATACTTTATTAATTTTGATGTAATGCTAATAATGGGGAAAATTTTAATAAATGTTTTTAAGAGATGATTATTTTACTCATTGGTATTGTTTTAACCATAAATTATTTAACTTGATTCTCAATAAGAGTTGACAATTATTTTATTATTAATTAATCGGGAATTCATTTTAATTGGACGTAATATTAAACGTGTTTTGCTGTACTTTACGGGAAATGTGTGTTTCCTATGCGGCAATACTTTTGGTCCCTTTTGTCTCACAAAAACACATTGAGTTAATGTATAGAAAAGTTAGTTTCGGCCATCATTTAGGTCATCAATACGTCAGGCAGACAGCACTGAATGTATATCCAGGGAAAAAACTATCGTTACTTTAATGTTAATTTGTAAGCAAAATTAAACTAGGTATAAAATGTAACATTTATAACAGATTTAAGAAATATTCATCGTTAGGATCATGGTCATATTTAGGTTTCATAAGATTTACCATAATGTTTATAAATGAATTATAAATAAATACTATAGTATTGATGGCTGGAGTGTCTGAAAGGCGCGTTAGTTTTGTGCACAGCTTTCTAGCGCTCAATGGTTTTGAAATTGAATTCAATGTGAATCGCATTTCACTATAAATTGATTTAAATTTAATTTTTATATTAATTTAAATTAATTTTTTGTGAAATTAAATACATATTTGTTTACAAATAGTTTACAATTACTTAATTAATATATATTTAAATAATTTATTTTTCACACAATTTTGTAAGTGTTTTATCGATTTAATGATGCAATCGATTGACTTAATTGTCATTTTATTTAATTGTCTTTTAATTTTATAATTTATTAACAATTTTATATTAAATTATAAATTTTTGTAAAATTATTATATTTTTATAAATTTTTGTTTAAATTGAAATGGATTTCAATTGTAAGGCATTTATAAAATGAGCCGAAAAAGGCATGTGTTTTGTGTGACATTACAATTGCTACACATATTAGCCATTAATTGATCCAAAGATCACCGCATTTGGTGACAGTTTGGGATCAGTTGTCAAAATCACGTGATTTTCAATCCTATCCTCACTTGAAATGACATTTAAAGGGTTTTTATAGAAAAAAGTTGAATGAATGCCATATAATAGAAATGCCATTCAATTAATGATAATTCATTTGAAGGTTAAATGTTTTGTGCAATTATTTGAATTAAATTTCATTTATTTGATTGTTATAACAGATCTAAATATGAAGATCTGGACATCAGAGCACACCTTCTCGTAAGTGTTATGTCATTAATTGATTGCCAAATATATGTTTTAATGGTGTTCTCAATGATATAGTCATCCGTGGCATACAGTTGTTCAGGCGGTTTGGCGTAAATACCCGAACCCAATGAATCCAGCGGTGGTCGGCATCGATGTGATCGATCGGGACGTCGGCACCAATGGTGTGATGAGGACTCACCGACTGATCAGCTGTGAGTGGGGTCTTCCCAATTGGGCCCAAAGGATATTAGGCACCGATAAGACGTGTTATGCCAGCGAACACTCAGAGATTGATCCAAACAATAGGACAATGACTTTACAGTCGAAAAATGTATGCTTTTAATGCTTTTGTCAATTGTGGTCAAAATTAATGTCGTTTTCGTTCAAAACTAGTTATCGTTTTGTAATGAGTTGTCGATAATTGAGAGATTGACATACAGTCCGCATCCAAGCCATCCGAACAGCACATTATTAAAACAAGAGGCCGTTATCACAGTCCACGGCATTCCTCTGAGTAGTTATTTTGAAGACTTTGTGTCCACAAATATCTCGTCAAACGCTAATAAGGTTTGCAAATGAATGTCCAAAATGGGCGTTGAATTGGTTTAACATATGGTGTCTTTGTATATTGTATTTGAAACGATAGGGACGTCAGGCCATGGAATGGGTGATCAGTAAAATCAATTGCGAAGTCCAAGAATTGACACAAAAGACGGTGAAGAGTGTGGACGAGTTAACGGTGAATGCGAAACGTTGTATAAGTGATGAGTTTGTGGCCAATAGTCCTAACTATCACTTTCAAGGGACTAAATAATTAGTATTTTTTATAGGAATTAATTGTTTTAAATTTTTAGTTATTATTGAAATTGAACTCAACTCTAGGCTTATATAAAAATATCAATGAATTATTGTTATTATATAACATAAAATCTGTCATAAATAATTGAAAACTTATTTATTTTTGGTGTCTTTTTAATTGGATTCTTAAAATCTATAAATTAATAAAATAATTCAATACATTTTATTATAAAACAATTAAAAAACAAATATTTATATATTTGGACACAACTTAGAAGAGTATTGCGTTGGGAGTACTGGAAAGACATGACTGTCCACTACTGGCCGTTAATATTCAATATCTTCGACACCTCGTGAACTCTTGTGCCCACAATCACCACTTCGTGTACAGGTTTGTCGTCGACTGTGCGTAGCTTTTCGATCTCGCGGACCACATCCATGCCCTCCACTACTTTGCCAAACACTGTATGCTTGCCGTCGAGCCATGGCGTGGCCACAGTTGTGATGAAGAACTGGGAACCGTTGGTGTCTTTGCCGGCGTTAGCCATACTCAGGAGACCGGGTTCTGTGTGTTTGATTTCGAAGTTTTCGTCGGCAAAGCGGTCGCCGTATATGGAAAAGGATCCGCGACCGTCACCACTCGTGATGTCTCCGCCCTATCATTCAAACAAATCATGTGTTAATACAATCAGAAATGGCAATACAAAGGGTGCGGCGACGAAGACCTGGATCATAAAGTTAGGTATAATGCGGTGGAATTTACTGCCACGATATGAACGGCCCTTAAAGCCCTTGGGATCGGCCAACGAGACAAAGTTCTTGACGGTTCTGGGAGTCATTTTGCCGAAGAGGGCCAACACAACGCTTCCCACATTCTTTGTGCCAACTTTGATGTCGAAGACTACTTCATGGGTGACCTCAACCTCTCGTCCCTCTGCGTGGCTGAAGAAGACGAAGGCGAAGAGAAGAAGCGATAACTTGATTAAAAGCATTGCCAACACGACTGATACGATCACAAGTGTCTTCTTGTTCTTAGTCCTCAACAGTTCACAAACTCTGCGAAAACACATCCGACTTATCGCTTATCCATAGCTTTTACACATAAGATAGAGAAAAAGGTGTGGTCTTGAGGTTAAGGACCAGTTTTGAGTGATATCTCATTTGCTGGTCTCCAATGTCTTGAGAGTCTCAGAGCTGGTCTCGAATCCATTAATTACGACACTCTTTGAGCGCAAATATGTTATGACTTTTTTCGCCAAATTTAAATGAAAAATTCAATTCAATTCCTGTTTTCTTAACCCAAACACTCTTTTTGGCTGTAATTCAGGTTTTAATCGATTTCAATGTGTTTTCAAAAGTTTGTAATTTTTTATGCATTAGATTACGATCTCATTTGAACCACATTTTTGTTATAAACTCACTAAATATTTATCCATTTATTAAAATCTATAATTAAATTAAACTTTTAATACATTTATATTTAATATAAATAATTTGACAGAAGTATTACACGGAATATAAGTCATTTGATGCCGAGATAAAGGTTTCAAGTTCTTAGGCAGTGGTCGATGACATTAGTTTCAATTAAAATATGTTAAATTCATTTATTAAACTCAAAATAGGACCCAATTTATACTTATTAACAATAAGTGTTGTAGAAATAGGAAATCTATGTAAAACCAAATTCATGTATACATTAAAATTACAAATTCTGAAAAATATAAATTTTAATTAGAGTTTCTAAAATTAAGCATGTAAATTAAGTTATGCTTCCCATAACTTAAAAATGAGCTATAAAAAGTAAATTTTATAATATTAATCAGTAAATAAGGATATATTATAAAACACAATGTAAGTCTATAAGTAATGTTAAGTATATGGGATATTTTTAGCACCACCCGAATTGTGGTTAAGCTATATCGTCGCGTGTGAACCTTGTTTATCCAATTGATTTATTCTATACTGTATTATAAAAAACTATTGATTTTTATGTAATTTAATCACTTTATTCCGTATTATAATTTCTCAATTAACAGACAACTTTTGAACTCTAATTAAAACTAAATCATATTTTGTGTTATAACTAAAATTGATGTAATCCTATAAATGTATTGACCATTAGTGCCAAACCTTAGGGTCAGACTTAAGATTTTATAGCAATCATTATATACTTTTCAAATTTTTTAAATTTCACCAATTATTGTACTCCACCTTTTTGTTGACCAACTTATACACATTAATTATATCAACAATTTATTTACATTAACCGTTATATACAGTAATATATACTGTACAATCTGACTAGGAATAGGATATTTAATAGCCGCTATTACATCCGTTTATAAATATTTCACATTATTGACAAATTACTAAATGTAAGTTGCTTTTACTTTTAATTATAAATCACGACTAAATTATTAATTAATAATGTGTAAAGCAATGCCATTTCAGTAAAAGCAAATTCACATTTTATATGGAAATATTAATAATTATTATTTTGAAAGTTATTAGTCTTAAGGAGTCATGAATGGGAAAAGAGAAGAGTTTGCAAAAGTCTGGTCTGGAGTTTGCGTTTCTTTATGCACTCTATAAAAGACATAACCATTAAATTGTTGTGAAATTTATTGCGGTTTTAGACGCGCGACTCCAGAGCCCAGAGTATTAGCATATCTTCCGGTCGTCCACACGACTCACCACTCAGTCAGGGATGGGATGACAAGTCCGTAGATTAGAGATGAGACCATAAACTGCTTTATACTGGCGTTAGTAGTAATGATAGTGGCGTTTGGGGCACATCACTGGGCTGTGGTGTTTGGGTTGGCATCGATACAGAATCGCTATACTTCTTAACATTGAGATCGTTTCGTGAGACAAACACAACATTTATTTCTTTCTTCGACACCTGTTTCTCTTACATCAGTTCTAAACTAATTCATTGAGTGTTTTGTTTGAGAGAGAGAGAGAGAGAGAGAGAAGTTATGTTCAGAAACCATTTGTTTGTATTGAAAGCAGTAGTGGAGGAATAGTGTACAGCCGTACAGTGTATAGGCTGTTGATATCACTGGCACCTCCACTCTCACACCACTGATGAAAGACATTACAGGCTTTGAAACTGCAGTTAAATCAATGTTTAGCTTTTTTGTGCTCCACTATTACTACCGAATTGCAGTCAAACACTAAAACAATCTGTTATTCCAACTGTTATTTGACTTATTTTGGGTGTTATTTGAGTGCAAGACTCGATGCGCTAATCAAATAGAGATTCCCATTTCATTCACACTTTTTGCACATATTCTTCATTTAAAATCTCACTTTTAAGTCAATTATAATTTATAAATAATATGCTTTTTCGCAAATCTCAGTCATTGATAACAACTTTAACTAAAAGTCTTGCGTAAATCAATAATCAAAAGCGTTGCCAGAATAGGAAAACCATTTTTTCAGTGGATATAAATAGCAAATTGAAGCACTATTTTGTGAGATAAGAACCAAAATTTAAAATACTGTCGTTAAAGATCTTGTACTGTATTTGTAAACACTATTTTTCTTATAGTAATTCGTCTATACTATGGAAAAATGTTTATTTAAACATATTGTTAGTAATATTACGATTCCGTTAAGAATAATATAAAATATGAATCAAATGTTATGAATAGACTTATGCTTACAATTTAAAAGTTATAAACAATTTCCACAAACTATTCTAACAATTATGTGTTGATTTAAAAGTAATTGTTAATATGAATTATTGTTTACATAACAACCACAGAATCATTCTTAAAATTACTTTATTTTTTGATGTAATCATTTTAAATAAGCAAAAGATTTTAAAATTTTTTGTAAGTGTTTTAAAGTTTAAAATTTGTTTTGAAAATTGAAAAATGTGTTGTTTGTAGAAAAAGCTTAATTAAAAGTCAATTAATTAAGATTTAGGCTTTTTGTAGTGAACATTGAAAGCAGTAGAGAGTCTGATGGGTAACAGCTATACAGCTATAGAGCACTTGTAAGAGCACTGATGTAACCGAAAGCCAAACTATTTATAACCTCTTCTCCCAAATGGAGATTCTCTCTCCAAATGTCTTCAAATGTATGCAATGTATGCATTGGAGTGAATATAATGCACGTAAACCCACATGTTTTTAACTTAAGACACTACTGCTGGCACATACCTCCCCTATGGAGTCCTCCCCTCCACACTTTCCCCACACTCTCTTCATCTCAATCCTCATCACTTGCACTTTCACTGCACTTTCACTGCACGCATAGTATTCAAAGTCTATTCGTACTGAACATCGTCTAAACGTTTGATCGTCTCATCAAAATAAGGCAAAAGCATTGCATCCCAAACCATATAGTAATGCAAATATGCCCCGAGCCTTCCTAATCACCAATAAAAGGTATGACTCCAACACTTCCATCACTGATCATACACTGGACCACAACCAACACATCGACCATCACATTGACCATCATTCCAGAGGTAACACATCTAATCATTTATTCTTTACTCCATTTGATATTTGATAATTTAATTTATAAATTGATCGCTTTATATGTAAAATACTTTTTAATGTGTCTAAATCTTGACAAAAACCAAATGAATATAATATTTCCATTTTATGCCATTTTTATGCCATTGTTTAATACCATTTTATGCAATATTAAGATACAATCGTTTAATATTACGCTAACTTAATTAAAGTTTTAGCTGTAATCGTAACATCTCTTAATAATTATATTTTATAAATCTTTATTTTGTTTAAATCAACGAATTAGACGTTTATTTCGCAATTGACAACACAATTATGAATTGCTTTAATCGTGCGTTAAATGTATTTTTTCAAATATTTCTAAGAATTGAGATTTAATGAGATTCTGTGGTTTTTTGCCATCCTTTGCAGTCTGTGCTCGCATTTTGAACCACATTTGCTTTGTTTTGTTTCAAATGTAATTTAAACACATCGTTATACATAAATAAGTTTTATATTTAAATAAATATTTAAATAATTACTTGTATATAAAGATATGCATTAAATATCTGGAAATTCTTGCAATTCATTAGAGAATAGTCCCGAACACAGCGTCTATACGGCCGAGGATTCAAAAAGTTTTGACTATGAAATCGCCTCAAATGCAGACTCGATTGCTCTCAAGCCTTCGAGTCCCGGATCACCCGCTCGTCTCTACAATCGTATATCAGTGTTAGCCCACACCGACTCCCTATCCAAATACGATAGCCCTATAAGTAATGGTAATCAATATTTATATGAATTTTATTTTACGGCACATATTATATAAGTTTTAAGCGCTTCTGAAACTGAATGCGGGAATTGATTCATAATTGTTGATCTATCAGATTGTTTATCAATTGACGATCAAAACGATGAATTGGAGGACAGTTTGGATGAAATGGAGGCACAAGACCTATCACTTCATCACTTGAGAGCCAGTAGTGACAGCGAAATAAAGAGAGAAAATGTAAATCCATTTAACTTTGTCTGTCGTGTCGCCGAAGCTCTCAAAGTAAGTCTGAGTTCATCGAAAAGTTATTGCTTTAAAACAAACACTTTTAATAAACTGAACACTCAATCACATCATTATTTATACCTAAAAGCAAAGCCAATCACCAGAACAGTCCTCGTTGTCGTCTGACATTCACATATGTCCTGATTGTGGCAAAAGATACAGCACTTCCAGTAATCTGGCCCGACATCGACAAACTCATCGAAGTGTTACCGATAAAAAGGCCCGAAAGTGTCCGCATTGTGACAAAGTCTATGTTTCAATGCCTGCCTATTCTATGCACGTGCGGACCCATAGCCAGGGCTGTCAATGTCCTTATTGTGGCAAATGCTTCAGTAGACCCTGGCTTCTGCAGGTTTGTCATCATTTCAATTACCCGGTCATTAAAACTAACCATACTTTTGTATTTTGTGTACTGTAGGGACACATACGCACACATACAGGTCTGTTCATAACATTTATAATAGTAGTTATGAATTATGTTTAAATATGTACTCAAAGACTGTTTGTATGATTATAGGAGAGAAGCCATTCAAGTGTCCGATCTGTGCGAAAGCGTTCGCCGACAAGAGGTAAACACATTGTGTTTATTATTGTTTCATTAGTTTTAAGCATAAGTTTTTGTAAGAAATGTTTGAGATGTGGTCACCAGTAGTTATAGAGTAGTTATTCTAGTGTTTTGTGTAATGAAATAATTGCTAAATCGTGTCTATGAATTGAATAGCAATCTCAGAGCCCACGTTCAGACACACTCCAGCACTAAGCCATACGTCTGCGAACGATGTGGTAAAGCATTTGCACTGAAGAGCTATCTCTACAAACACGAGGAGTCTTCGTGTATGCGATTGCATCGACACTCCGGACACTCACAACACAGATCTGTATTGTCTCTATTCGACGACTCATCGCCTTCTCTTAACGGCTGATCTAAAACTCTTTCGATCCCTTCTTTACATTATCTTATATTTTCACTCATTCTTCCATTTATTGTATTTTCGACACCAAAAGAAACGATAGTTTTATAGAATATTCTTAATTTTTTAGACAAACATTTTTACCTTTTCTGAATACTTATTATATTATTTTGCTGTGTTTTCTAGTGATTATATCATATATCATATACACATAAATCTTTTTGTAATTATACACAAAATACACATAATTTTATACTTTTATTGCAATATAAACTAAATATCATTTAAATATATAATTTTTATCAAATTTATAATATTAAGAATTACCTATGATTTGCATATGAATGCAAAATCTGTATGGTTTGAGTGTGAAGACTAGTTCAATGTGTCACTTATATATACCGGTATCGTTTTTACAATGAATTTCTCTATTATAGGTGCCATTTAAACAATACCTAAATCTTTGTCTAAATATTATTTTCTAGTCGTTTATAAATTCATTGGAGGAAACTTTAATTATAATTAATAGTTAGATTAGTTTAAATTATTATTTCATTAATTATAATGACATTTTGTATCAATATTTTAATTAAATGTGTTTTTAAAGTTTTGAAAATATTTTAATAAACAAAAATTTTTCACATATAATATGCCCATCATACATTTTTAATTACATTTAATAAAATGTGTTCATTAAAAAAACTAAATTTTTAACATTGCAAACACTTTGTTTAGTACTCCAAAGGCTTTGTCTCTAAATAAATGCGACAAAAAATAGATGACATTAAAACATAGGAAGGGATCTAATGTGTGGAGTAGTGGATCACCGGATGCTTTCATGACTTCATGTGCTCATTAATGTTGAGAAAAGCATCGAAAATGTGTGCATTTGTTAGCGATATATATAACCACTATTTCCTCCGACACGCGTTGTGGCAGTGATAGTGAGATGTCATGTATGGCAACACATGAAACTCATGTCCACCTGTTTGGGTCTTAGCCTCGGCAGCCTATTTGGTTGCTATGGTTTCGGTCAATGCCTGTGACCCGAGAGAGTGATTGTCGGGTCAACGATAGGACCGGATGTGTGAGAGACGATGGAATCTAAGCGATGGACAAAAGTGAGAGTCAAAGGGTGCACAAACTGTTTATAACATCTCTCTCTCTCTCATCACTTCCTATTCGCTTATTTTTCTTACGCCACAGAAATGCAAAGCGTTTCGAAAACCTCAATGGGTTTAAGGGTTTAAATAGATTTTTGAGTGAAGAGTTGGACGTTGTTTGCAGTCAAAGATCGCACTGACTGTTAGTTAAAGGGCTGAAAAAGGGCTCTCTTTTCACACATGTGTTCCCTTCTTGTGGTTACGGACGCGCGACGAGACACGCGATCGGCACACGACTGGCCCTACAGTTCACCACAAATACCGACTTTCCCTTTCACTAATGAAAGCAAATCTTTCTTTCATTTTTTGGTTGTCAAGAGTTAATGTTTGAAATGTCAGAAAAATGATCAATAAATGAATCAAAGAATTTACACTAAAAATGATTACAAGAGTCGGCGAGGAGTTGTGCACCACTTCTCAGACAGTCTTAGCCTTGAACTACACTTCTATTACTTTTTTGTTGCTTTCTTTGCTTTACTTTACATTGAATTCATTAAATCAAAACTAATGTTAACTAACAGTAATGCTCTCACTATTTATCATTCATTAGCTTTTTTTATTGCTTTTGCGAAACAAATGCTTAGACAGACTTTTATGCATCAAAACAACATTTCTTAAAATATAACATCACTTCTTATCACTGAATTCAATGCTTACTTACTGTTGATCTCAAGACACAAATATGAGAGACATATAAATGAGTTATTCATAACCTAATAGATAGTGAGACAAAGACATCGACATAAAGACTGAACGCATTTCTGGCAATGAATTGACTCGAAGTAAACATTTGTTTTGTTTCAAAGCGATTGCAATACTTTATTGTTATTGACATTCATTTATCGCTACTCTATATTGTATGCAAATATCGGTTTACATAATGTATTGGAACTGAAAATTAACGCAAAGTAACGGCAAGTATAAGAGTTAAGATGAGGGGAGAGTTTGTAGAGATCTTTTGTTGTGTTTTCTTGTCTTATATACAGAATATAGTGTTGTAGTGATGGGGAGAGAGAGAGCCAGTAATGAATCGCTGTCTTAGCATTTAATGGAGTGAAGCCCAGGCATGTGTCCGTCCACTGAGATCTACTACTAGAGAGAGAGAGAGAGAGAGAGAGAGAGAGATGAGCAACAGTTGCGTGAATATGGAATGCAGACGACTTCCTGCCAATGGATGGAAAGGGAGGACAAGGGATGAGAGGGAGAGCACAGAAATCATATCTATTTATATATCGGTGCGATTGTGCCGACGACTGCAAACACAGCACATAATGTATTGAAAAGCAAAGTAAGCGCAAGAATATAGTAGAGGGTATGTGTGAGCTCTGGTGCCACGTGTGCTGTCCTACGACTTGTAAGAATCACAACTTATACTCTCTATATTACATCCATTGAGAGTATGAATTAACTCACTCTCACTATTCACTACTTGGCTTGTAGTAGATCTCAGTGGACGGACACATGCCTGGGCTTCACTCCATTAAATGCTAAGACAGCGATTCATTACTGGCTCTCTCTCTCCCTCTCCATCCCTGAGCCCCTGATATACCCCATGAACCATATATTGTGCACCAAATATACTAATCGTTTACATAATATTTCATCAGAACATGTATTACAAAAGAGATCACAACACTCTCTGTGGCTATAATTTATACAAAACCAAGAATTGTATACTTTTTGCACAAAGTTTAGCATTCATTTGAAACTTACATGAAATTCATTGGCCTTCAATTCAGTCATCAATTTGCTATAAACTTATAGAATGCAAAATAAATACATAAAGATTACTATAACTATTTAAACATGATTTTAATTAATAATTTTAAGACAACAAGTTTATTATTGCCCAACAATTTTGCATAAATCCTCAAAACATTGTCATTTTGTTAGCGATCTCTAAGATATTGAGTTTTGTTTACGCTTTCAAACTGAGAGCCCCCGCAAAGAGTGGGGATTAGAACTCAAAATATCCCAAATTTAATGATTGACTTCTCGTTTAAACAAAATATTCTGCACAAACTTTTAGTTAAATAACATTTTTAATTATAACTTATATTGAATGAGATATCAATAAGTGTTATCACAATAAGACATAAAGAATAAAATATTCCAAGTATTTTGTATTAATTTCAAACAACATAATAATTATTGCTTTTTTGTTGTGATTTATTATGGAATTTGTTATAAGAATAAATAAAAACTATTTTTTACATGTAATAGTAATTGTTTAAATGCTTTTATAAAAACAGTTGCACCGGATTTACAATTAAGTCTCAAATGAATCTCTATATAATTGAGGACAAGTCAGATATTTATATACTGTTCCTCAACAGCGCCTACGATAACGGTTTGTTCCAACATTTACTCCAGTATTGGGTATACAAGACATAGACTAAAGACGAGAGGATAGGGCGGTGTCTTCTCTACAACATATTCATATCTTTAGGTAAGTAATGAATCAAAATATTTCACACTTTTTATCAT